CATATACAATCCCTAAATCTTCAGATCAGTACTAAAGGAATTATCACGCTATCAACCTATTCTATACAAAAGAAAACTCAGCTTAAAAAAAAAAAAAAGTATGAAGCTTGCACCCAAGTCCAGGTAGATGATAAGTAAAAGATTAAAAACTTGAAACCCAGGTCCATCGAGCTCCTAAACTTGTTTTTTTTCCCACTATAAAATTTTATTGAAATTTTAAATGCATTGGTTCTCCAGTACAATTTATGTTCTGCTCTAACAAACAAAAACACACTGCATTACTTATTTGGGAAGCCATGCAATTTCTTCCGAAGAAGCCAATTACTCAATTGAAGTCCTGTAATTTAACACAATGATTAATTATCTGTATATTTTCAAAATCTTGAATTTCAAGGAGTGTCTGATCAAAATATGTGGGAATCATTTTTTCCCCTACCAGCTATCTTACTGGTAGAAATGGATGTTAATCCTATGTAACTTGCCATTTCTTTACTCTCTGCTTTAAACATAAAACAGTTTATGAAATGACATGACATTCTATAATTAAGGTTTAGTCACACGGACCAAAAACATTTAAAAGTATAAATGTTTTTCTGTAGTGCTTCTATAGATGTCTACACTGATAAAATGCTTGCAAATTATGCAATAGTTTTAGATTTAATTTATAGAATAGATTAACAAAGAGTAAAAAAGATTGTATACTCTGTGAAGAGAAAGCAAAATGAAATCAATAATAAAAGGTTGATGGTGGCACACAGGTTCCAAATACCAAGCAAAAATAAATAGTATTCTGATTTAATAGAAACTAGGGAACCAGTTGCTTTACCAGATTTTAGTTCTACTTCTTTATTTTATTGGGGTAGAAAACCAGAACAATCAGGGGGACAAAATATTATTGCTACTCCAATTCTAAAATAAAGAGGACAGTTGCATTTACTTAAATTCAGCAAGATAAGATTCTTAAAATATTCGCTCACCTCCAATATATTGTAATATGTAAGGACTCTATTATCATAAGCAGTGCTAGAAATGGTTTTTCACCTCAACTTTCAAATAAGTTCTAAGAATTAGAATCATGACAACTTTTTTAGTTTAAGAAAAAATAGTTTAAAGACATGTTCAGATCTAAATTGAGATAATACATAAGAGAAAAATAACACTGTGTATAAATACATTTAAATATAATTTCCTAAAATAATAAACCTAAAAATAGTGTTAAAGAAAGTCATAAAGTTGAACTGTTTCTGTCTAAAGCTTCCTCAAACTGAGTGAATCTAATCACCTCTTACTTTCAATTGGTAAAATATTTACAATATAGTAGACAATATTTAATTAGGGTAGACACAATAACCTTTTTTAACCTTTCTTAGGGAACACTGACCCCTAAAGGTTCTAAATTTAAATAAGTTTCACAATATTCTAAATTTCACTGGCATCTAGACTTCACTTTTACCTGTATTATTATAGGTGTCTACTTATGGCACAAGCATTTATTCATAAATAATGTGAACTATTTCTAATGGACTACCATATATGATGAAACAACTAGATTAATAAAAACCACCAAAATTTAATATAAAAATATTCAGAAATTTATCATACACTTCCCAATATATACTCACTGCTAAGAAATTTCTGACCGCCATGCCTTTTTTCTTACATAGTTAAGTAAATAATAGGTAACTGCTAAAAAAGTCTGAACAACCAATCTATTAACAATTCTTTCTTTCAGTGTGTTGATTTTAAGTAAGTCCTTTGATTATACCAATTCATTTTCTTCATTACAAAAAGAGAAACTTACCCTGAAAAATAGAAGGTTTTCACCAAAGGAAAAAATATCATTTACTTCACAAGAAGGCAGAAGTTGTAACGAATGCTAACAGGGCAACACATGCTAACTCGCATATTTCTTCCATCAACTTAAAAATTTGACTCATTCAGGGTTGTTTTTTAAGCTATTTAAAGAAATTCTGACACTGTTCATAGAATGTCTTCACCTTTCCTACCTACCAATCTCAACTTTGCATTTTCCAAACTATCTAGAATGACAAAAACAAAGAATAATGTAAATCATTGTATCTGTTACATTACACACTTAATCAAATCTTTGACTCCAAATATTTCAGCAGTGTTTTACAACAGTGCTAGGAAACAAACAGGCAGTTCAGCACTTCTTATATTTATAAAATGGTATAGGCATATCTATATGATTTAGCTGATTAAAGTAGCTCAATTGTTTAAAAAATAAAGAAAGCAATATTAAATAACTATTTGAGAATAGACTACAAACATTAGTGTAAAACGAACTTGGAAAAAATTTGTGCCTTATGATGAATTCCATGAACCTTGATAACAAAAGGATGGCCATTTGAGATTTGACTGTTTAAACATATCAGTTATTACAAAACTCAGTTTTATTTCTTAATAATAGTTCATTAATAGGCCCTTATATAAAAGAATGTCTAATTTCTATTTCCAATGTCAAAAACTTGCCTGTAAAATGCAAATTTTCTTAATGATGTTTCAGTCACGTTTATTACAATCTGTGCCTCCTGCAAACTATTTATACATCTATGTCTTTAGCCCCGAAACCTTCCTTTCCATAAGTGTCCAGGAGCTTCAGCAACCCCCTTCCTTAACATCTTTCCTGGTTATTCTACATTTATGAGAAGTAGTTCCTCTATAGCCTCTAGTTCTTTACATATATTAAAAACAAGTCTTTTGGTTCCTTAAAGGTCCTTTTGTCTGTAATTTGAACGACAGGACTTTTACTACAATGTGACCTCTGAATAGGGAACATAAGCTACACAGGCCTCAGTATTTACTTCCTCTTTTCTTATTTTGTACATAAATCAAGTAAAACTGCTTGAGTTCTTCATCGGGAGAATGTTTGCTTGCTTATTTGCATAAATGAATAAAAATGGCTAAAACATGTTAGTTCCCAGTTTCATACTGATACATCCTTTTTACTTATAGTGTACCAACCTCAAGTGTTACAAAGTCCACTCACTAAAACTATTAACTTTACATGAAAACCTTTAACTATCATACTCAGCTATTACTTGCTATAACTTTACACTCAATTCAGTTACCTGGCTTCTAAACTCTGTAACATGCAGCAAAGTAAAGGGGTTGCTGCATGTAACACAAATAAAAGGGTTGCTAGTATCAGGCATAAACTGCAAGAAAACTTTTAACAGTGTAAAAATAAACAATGAATGTAGAAAGCAGAAAAAGTTATACTCAAAAAGCACAGCATCTTCTTACACCTCAGAAGAATGTGTAACTATGGTCTTATTTAATAGAACAGTATCGGATGTCTTTAACCTGAAAAAAGATAATAGTATGGATGATATTTGGTGAAAAAAGAACCCGGTTTGGGATAGAGGAATCCAAAAACAGAGAAATGTGGACTGCTTACCTAATAATCATATTTTTTAATTTAGAGGAAATAAAAATGATGTACAAAGGTACAAATCTTCACCTATATGTAATACTATATTCAGAATGACTCATTTCCCAAAGATTCTAGATTTGTAACATTTTACTGTAAGAGATCTCAAGTAAAAAGCTAGTATTATTTTAGGAACCTCCCTGGTGGTGTAGGGGCTGTCTCAGCACTATCACACTATAATCACTGTGGTCTGAGCTCGAGCCCCAGTCAGGGAACTAACAGCATACCGCTCTTGTTGCACCTGCTGCTCCCCTCAACAGTGTATTTCAGTAGATCTGCCTGTTCTGCTCCCAACTCTGTCTCTGGTGAATCCTCTCATCCTCCATACTTCTGGCCTACACCCCAGTTCTTCTTTGCATACATATTTTTTTTTTTAAAGCGAGTATTATTTTAAACCTCTCTCTTCACAGGTCTCTCTCTCTTGCTCTACAGATAGAGAATCTCTACTGCCCTACCTACTCATATACTTCTTTTTTTCAGGCCATCTCTCAGTTTATCTGTTCTGCAAACTCTGTTTCTGTCTCTGACCTTTCTCTCCTTCTGCCTGTGCCTGTCCCTATGCATCTCTGTGGCTCTGACTTTGCGTTCACTTCTCTCTCTCTCAGTCTCTCTCCACCACTCTGTTGCTGAGTCTCTCTGGCCCCTCTGCCTCCACCTCTTTTCAGGTGTATCTTTCCGTGTGCACATGTCTCTACATGCGGCTCTGTATCTGTATGCGTCTCCATGTGTTTCTCTGTGTTCATGATCTCTCCATGTGTGTTTCTTTCTTCTTGTGCACATATCTTCTAGTCTCTTTCACCATGTGTTCCTGAGCATGTATGTTTAAATGCCTATGCCTCTATCTCTGTCTCTTTGTTTCCTATCTATCTCTCACCATAATTCTCTGCCTCTTCTCACTGTGTTTCTCTTCTGCTGGTATCTCCCTTTCTCTGTGAGTCTTGGTGCGTGTCTCTTTCTGTATTTACACATATGCGTCTCTGTCTGTCTGTGTGTGTGCACCTTAATGTGTGTCTGTCTCTTTCTTTGAGCTAAGCCTTTCCCTTCCTGTGTCTGTGTCTCTTTACTTGTGTTTCTTTCTCTGCAGGTACCTCTCTGCATGCATCTCTCTCCCAGTCATTCTCAGTCTTTTCTATCACTGTGTGTATGTGTGTTTTTTCTCTCTTCCTGTGTATATTTTCCTCTTTCTGTAAGTAGCTCTTCTTCTCTGTATATCTCTTTCTCTGTATGTGTGTGCATGGCCTTTTCTGTGTGTATTGCTTTCTGTGTCTTTCTGTCTCTTTTGCAGAGTGTGTGCTCTCTGTGTGTGCCCCATTCTGTGTGTGTGAGTGTGTGTGTGTGTGTGTGAGAGAGAGAGAGAGACAGAGAGAGAGAGAGGGAGAGAGAGAAAGCAAGAGGGGGGAGAGAGAGAGAGAGTGAGAGAGAGAGAGCACGCATGTGTGCTTGCTTGCCTCTGACTAACATATTGGTTAAAACAAACACATTTCATTCAGTGCCTTGAACTAGCACAACACCTGGGGTTTGGTATTAATACCTTAAAAGTCCTTACCTTTTGACCAGTTCTCCATTTGTACTTCTATTCTTGTTTGCTCTGGCAATGTCTCTGATTTTTGCTCAAAGATTTGAAGCTAAAATAAAGTCAACTCTGAATAAATAAACTTAAAACAATATATCAGAATACACCTAAAACTTATATTTGTTTAACAGGAATTTATAGGATAAACGGTTTTCTAAAACATTTATATTGGAACAATTAACTATGTATTTCAACAAGTGAAATTAAACCTTTTTTTCCTCAGCAAAAAATTCTTCCCCTCACATATTTTTAGTAAACATAACTCAGATTAAGCATCTAGAAACAATTTATTTATATAACTCAATTTTTTTCCAACTACAACTTCACAATTTAACAAAAATCATTTTTTACTGTCATAACATTCAATAAAAATTAATATTTATTGATTTGCATTTACAATGTATATTTTCATATTAACATTTTATACATGTAAGAGTAATTTAAGAATACTACTCTAATTTTTTAAAAAAAAACAAAGATTACCATTAACTTGGGGAATTACTGGTGTTTCTCTCTTGCTTTTGATTTCTTAATAAACATAACAAAAGCTATGCAAGTTTTTTTTACATCCTTTTGAAGAGAATAAAATTAGATTTACCTCACAGCTAGAACTCTGCGTTCTTTAAAAACTCCTCAAATAAAGCTGCAGTAAGCGTCTCCTTTTCCAATTTTCTCTAAATATGTTGATCTGGAGTTGGCAATTTTTTTCTAAGTTCTCCTCATTTACTTTTGGATTAGCTGAAAATATAGGACGTTATTAATATCAAAGAAATATGTTCCAGTCAATGAAGCCATTTCCCTACATATTGCCCAAAAAGGTTAATAATAATTGCAGTCTTTTAATAAGAGATTCATATAGCAAGACATGTAGAAAATACAGTCTTTAATAACCTCTGGAGTATTTCAAAACATGTCTTATAGGCCTTAATGTGCTTAGTAATATACTATTTAAAACCATAATTTTATCCCTTTGCAATATACAGTCACTCTTCCTCATCATTTGCCCAGCTAATGAATGCCAGCAATTAGTAAAATGTAATCCCATTGCACAATCATTTTAATGCTTTTAGCACTCAGAAAAGTAAACACCAAATTAATACTGCTCAAGCCATATCAGATCCTAGTTGGAAGCAAGCAATTATAGTTCAGCTCCTCAGGTGTAATTAAATGATTGGAATGATTTAGTTCCATAAATGCAAGTTAATTCATAAGCAAGCAACAAATATACTGGGAGTAATTACAAGAAACATTGACAGTCTAAGCAGGGCTAATTCTTTTATGAGCCTGACATAGTAAAATGCTGCCCTCTCCTGGACATATAAGTGAATATCTCAGAATCAAATAAAATATCCCCCTCCAAAAACCGCAACTTTAAAAAAGCAATTAGAAAAAATAATTACCAATAAATCGATTTAATTCTATTCTTTATACTAAAGAATTAGATATTTGGCTTATACTGTGATCAGTTCTACACACTCTTGTAATTGGCACTTTTTCCAATCAATCTCTGTATAAGTCCTAAAACATACCAGCTAATTCCTGTACTCTAATAAAACTAAATCACTCATAACATTGATAGACTGCAAATGAAACTGCCAGACCACCACCTGCATTCTCCTATTGATGAACTGACAATAAATTACGCTTTTATCAGTACCAAAATTTGTGAAAAAAGTAATCTCTGAAAAAAAGTAAAACAAAACACTCAGTATTATTGTAACCATTCACACTAGTCTAAAGTTGTTTTTAAGGAACTTTAATAATACGAATAAAAACTATAGCACTGATATAATGACATTATAAACACATTTTAAAACACAAAGATTTACAAATAAAATGCATCCCAGTTTTATAAGTCATTCCCAACTTTTTATATTCTTGGGCTAAAATTCACAACTTTATATATACACTATTCCGTTTCTCACACTAAACTTTCAGAGCCTTATTTATTATATACATTTCATATATTGAGTATACTATACTCAATAAATCTGTGTTAACACATTTGTATTTGTAGCACTAAAGCTGTCAGAATCATCCCTTTGACTTTCTGGGAAACTGAACATATCCTTAAATATTACCAACATCACACAAGTGTTTGATTCTCAAAAAAAAGCAAATTATACTTGCAGAGGATGTTTAACACTACCAATATTTTGAGGGAGGATAAAGAATTATTGCCCTTTTAATATGCTTTCAAATGTGCTTAAATAACTATATTCTAAGTCTTACTGGATACAGACAATAAAAATAAAATAAACCAAAATATTAAAAGTCCTGTCACTAAGTTTAAAATGTACAGCACATTTGCTTTGCCCTTGATGTCACAGTCTTATTTTTCAATTCATATCTTGTACACTGTAAGTTAATTGCTTTTGGAAAGTACTTATTATTCATGTAAAAATTAATGTGCCAATGTGTTTAAATCCTTCTAAATGACCATTCATGCATCTTTCTTCTTTAAGTACCAATGAAATCTGTCAAAAGACATCAATGCAAAATGGTCTTAAAGAAAGTTCTAATAGAAATTTTTTTCTGCTAACACAAGATTTTCATATTCACCAACTTTACTTAAATTCCATTAATTTTTTAAGCTAGTTTTAATAAATTCGCCAAGTAAAATTTTTAGGCCCCATAGTCTGTCATTTGTGTTCCAGCTGACATTATGAATATTAATAACAGTGTTATCCTGATTAAATAGGCTTCATATGAAATCCCTGTGAATCCTATAGCTCAGACATCTCATTTTTCCAACTCTTTATGAATTTGGATTCAGACATTAAACTGGAAAAATCTTTAAAAACAGATTTAAGGGCATATTTGCATATTGTCAAGCAAAAATTACATGTTCTAATGATTCAAATAATTACAACTTACATATCTATAGATTGTCATAGGAATAAAAGATTTCCATAAACATGCAACATATTTTACATTTCTAATCATTTCTGGACAAAAGACTATGACTAATAAAATACTACTTCTGTTCCCTACACGCACCACAAAAATCTGATATTAAGAATTTATTTCAATCAAAAATTACATATTCATGAAAAAACTAAACTGATGATTTTACAGGAGACATCAGATAAATTAGGTTTTCAAAATATTAACTTACTCCATTATAAACAAAATGTTACTTCATTATTACTAATATATACCATGTTCAAATATCAAAAATAAAGTGGATTCCCACCTAAAATTTGCTTATGTTTTGCTGGAAAAAAATAACACAGGTTAAAAACAAAAAATAAAATCGTTACTATAACAACAGCATACCACATTAGCATCTGTTAAATTAAGATCTTCTCTGTCACATATTCCTAACTTTATTCCCTCCAAGTTGTTTTTATTTGTGAAAGGAAGTTTTATTACATAGAAGAAAATAAATAACAATTAAAGAAACCACATATTCTCTTCTCTCTCTAGGTACACAGCAATCTAAATAAATCTGCCAAAATTTCCTACATGCACCATACAAAAGTAAATGCAAATTGAAAAAAATTTAAACAAACATCTCTATGCTCTCAAATGTGACTTGACTCGTCTTGTTTACTCAGCAGTTAAACACTTAATAAAACAAAATTTGTTCTTTGACCTGTCTGAAATTTCTAATCTGCCTAAAAATTTACAAGTACTTCTAATAATTATCCTTTAAAATTAAACAATGCCTTTTTGACAAAGCAGTGTTTAAAAATGGGGTTTCATTCCTCAGTGTAATAATACCCAGGTTTTTCAAAAGTTTACTTTAAATGGAAGATGTTCTTCCTACCTTCCTCTACAAACTACATTATGGTAAAGGTTTCTGGCTAATTTTGGTTCATGGCTTTTTTAAAATAATATTTCCTTAATCACACACTAAACAGTGTTAAACTCTGAATCATTTACAGTACCACCTCTAGTGCAAATATTATAAAACTCCAAATTTTGTATATACCTGGATTGAGAAATGTTGATAATTTTTGCATTGAAATTATTTCATTAAATGGTCTAAAGGAAAGCAACGTTAGTTCTGAAAGCTATTTTATAACATAACTCAACGTACACAACATACGGATGTTTTGTTGTTGGATTTTCATCTTACTAAACATAAGTCTCTCAAACATTCACAGTCCCCAGTACATTCTCTCCTCAAAAAGATTCCTTTCATTCAATGCACCTCATAGTACAGGCCACTACCTACCAAGCTTGGGGCAACTCTTGTTCCTCAGAGACAGGGAATGCAAAAAGAAGTTTAGGAGAAAGACTAAGAGATGAAAGTGGCCTCACACCATAACTACCAAAATTTAAAAAGCATATAGAATTTGAACCCTTAGTTCCACTACTACAATTATTTAGAAAATTATGTAAAGCATATTTTTATGTACAAAGAAGCAGCATTGATTTGTAAGAACAAATACTCACACTCTAGTCATACTAGACTTATTTCTGTTCCTTGAACTCACCAAGCTTATTTAGATCTCAGAGTTTTTAATATTTGTTTATTCCCTTTGCCTAGAATTATCACCTCTAAATCTGCAAACCCTTTTTCTCATCACTTAGATCTTCCTCAAAAGTCATCTCTTCAAACAGATTTTTGCCTGGCCATTCTATCTAAAACAGAAACTCCTCTCTCATCACACTGCCCATGATTCTGCCTTCACAAAACAATCTGTCTAGGTTTTATTTCTTTGCTTTTTTATATATCTCAGCCAATTGAGGGAAACTCCCATATAACCTGCCTTTATGTATAGAGAATTTCCATGTCTTTCTCCTTCAGAGAAAAGTAAAGGTGTTTGGCACACAGTAAGTACTAAGTACATTTCAGGAGCACACAGGTGAGTGGATAGCCAGAAAAATAGATCTAACATAAATATTCATCAATAGAAAATTTATCAAATAAAATATGAACCACATAGCAAATCTATATGGTTTGTGGCACAAATGCAAAAGCTATATACTATATGTGGAAGATTCAACAAATATTTGTTAAGCACCCATATAGCAGTTAGATATAAAATGGTAAATAAAACAAAATATATCTTTAGCCAAAATAGTAAAGGCACAGAACACAGCTAATTAAAAACAGGAAAAAAGGTAAAATTATACTTAAATATGCAGACATTCTTGAGTGGTTTTTTTTTTTCTAGAAGGAAATTATTACCAGTGGTTACTTTGGGTCTAAGAGTTGAGGTGAGGACAGTGAGGGAAGAATGTATTTGTGTTTTACCTTATATATATCTGTATGATTTCATTTATTTTTTTACTTAATAATTAAATATTTATTAATGACCTTGGAAATTGACAAGAAACTCTGAAGGAAGCCACATTATATCGTAGAAATCCATAATGAATAGAAAGGAAATAATCTTTATGACTCTTGAAACTTGAAAAACCTATGATTTTCTATTTGACCTTCTAAAATTATACTGTTATGGTTATTTGCTTGCTTGGTCTAAGTAGAGTTTAAAAGTTCAAATTAAACTAAAATGCAGCAGGAATTTTTTTAGAAAAGTTTAAAATGAGTGAAAAAGTTCCTTGAGAATTAAGCAAATATTTCTTAAAATAATCACATTTTTTCATTAGAGTAGGGACTTTTACAAATAGTCTTACAGTTCAGGATTCTAAAGTTTAAAATGTATATAACAAAAATAAACTGCTTCATATTAGGATTATTGTATGTATGTTACAGGTAGTTCCCCTACCTAATGTTTTAGTAATCAAGAAATTTCTATCAAAATCCATAACTGAATGTCATG